CTCGGCGCCAGCTTCCCCTCCAGGGGAGGCGCTCGGCGTGGCCAGCAGAGGGCAGTGCTGCCCCGCGCATGACTCGCAGCCTGGGAGCGCGGCTCCGGTCTCAGTCAGGGCTGCGCTGTCTGGAGGTGCAGGAAGCCCGCCAGGGCGCCGCTGGCTGTGCCCTCACAGCCCAGTCTCCTGTGCCAGCCGGCTCCCGGGGCGACCGCCCCAGCCTGACTGGGTCTCCCTGTGCGCCGTCCCTGCCCAGGCTGGGGCTCCAGGCCTGGTCGCCCCCAAGGGCCCTTCCCGTGCAGAGGGCGGGGTGGGCACAGCCCACCTCCTAGTCCCTGGGCTCAGTGCCCACCCCGCCCTGCTCGCCTGCAGGAGGCCATGCTCGGGAGAGCCCCCCACACTCACTGACCCCACTGGCTCATCCCCTCATTCCTGCCCTCTCACTTCTCCAGCCAGCACGCAGGGTGCCCGTGGACCTCCACGCCGGGCCGGGCCTCGGGCAGTGTGCCACAGAGACCAGACACCATGGCACAAGGGCTTCGTGCTCGGGCAGGAGCCCCCGGCCAGGCCCAGGGTCTCCGAGTCGCAGCCCGATTCCGGCGGTGTCGTGGGGGCCTCAACCAGCCCCACTAGGGGCAGAAAGTCAAGGGCGACCCCCAGAGCCAGCGTTGGTCCCAGGGACATGTGGGGTAGAGACATGAGGGGCCAGGCTGCTGACCCGGTCACCCCCGGCCTGGCACCGAGGACCGTGGAGCCAGGGCCAGCCCGAGGGCGGCCTCGAGCCGCCACCTGCCCCCACACCTGCCCCCTTGTGCCGAGAAGCCCCCAGGTTCGCCCAGGGCACAGGCAGCACCCACCTTGCTCAGCTCCTCCCCACCTGGTCACCGGAATGGGGCCTCGGGGCCTGGAGGGCATGATGGGGATGCTGAGAGCCACGGGCGGGGGCACGCAGCTCTGAGACCTGGGGTGCTCCTGGCTCAGGCCGCCCCCTGGCTGCAGGGCGCTCAGGGCCCCACCGGGGTGGCTGTGTGCCCCGCGAGCAGAGGGTGGGGCCTCACCAGGGCCCGCACCCAGCTGGGGTGCAGCTGTGCCCTGCGCTGCCCCGCCTGCCCGGGCTCAGCAGTGGCCCGCGGCTGCTCGGGCCTGCGCTGCCTCACGGGAGGAGGCGCCCACCTGCCGCCAGGCCTGGCGGAGCCTCTCGGCCTCCTTTGCAGATGTTCAAGTTGCTGGCCAGAGCCTATGCCGACGTCCACCCCGTGATGACCGACAGGTCGGAGAACAGGTGCGGGGGCAACTTCCTGAAGACCGGCAGCATCATCAACGGGGCGGACTGGTACAGC